GATGAGGGCAATGAATGTACAAATGCATTTTACACAATTGATGTATGTATGGATTGTGATAAGAGTTGTATGAGCCCCCAATAAAATGATTTTAAAAAGTAAAAAAAATAAAATGGCAAACAGTGTATCATATATATTTTACCAACCATAAAATTTTCCTGAAGAGATCAACAAGCAACACGTAAACAGCCTGTACTGTGGACTGTGGCATGTTAGACTAATTCTATTTTCTTGATTATCTGTGTTTTTTAAATGTCCTAAAATCCTTGTGTATTGTCTTTGAAGTGTTTTCTTTTTACGTAATAAACTTACAGAAGAATCCTTCCATCTCTCTGAACTACCTCTCAATCCACTCTTGATCTCCTTTCTGGGAGGCTTATTCTGAAGAACTCCTTAAGGAGACGCAAGAAAAGATCAACTTTCCCCTCAACCCTTGCACATAAAATTGACGCTCAAGAAAATTGTGCTTCAGCAAACTGAAATCTCGCTACAAAAGGAGCTGCCGTTCTCAAAACTCTGCTGATGTGGCCAGCTGCCAAGCCCAGGCACTGGCACTCATGCAGAGAGACGGCCAGGTAGCAGGACCAGCCCAGTTGGGGCCCTCACCTCGGGGATGCAGTCCTCATGGGTCACTACTCGGACAATGTCATCCAGCGGCAGCAGGGAGTTGCACTTGATCTCCGTGTACACGTTTTTGCCCTCTGTGCACACAGCCAGCAGCTCCACCAAGTGGATGTGGTACATGAGAGGGCTGTTCTCATCCATGCGGTCCCGCTCTGACCTCATCATCTGGATCAGAGTCTGGAAGGAGGCCCTGTCGTTGTAGAACACGAGGACATCCTCTCCTGAGCTGACCAGCTGTAAGAGAACACGGCTCTGTTTAAGTTACAAGCTGGCGAAGGGGGGAAGGGGAGCAGCATGAACAAAGGTGGCCGAAGCTATTCGCAGAGAAAGCTGTTCTATTAGCCGTGACCTTCTGGCGCCAGTCTCACCTACATTCCTCAACTCATCGCGTGCATTCATTTCTAGTTCTTAACAGCTAAACACGTTCAGCATCAAATTTTAAACCACAGATAGAGAAATATTACAGGGATTCTAAAAATTATTAGGGAAAAGAAAGTCTACATAGGAACATTCCTGTGTCAAGCACAAGCTTACCCTTGATTATTTCCAAGACTGCATGCTCCCAAAGCAGCAAGCATGTTGCTGCGAGTCAATCCTGACTCCTGGTCTCCCAATGTTTTACCAAGTGGTACTGCCCCACAGGGTATCCATGGCTGTCACACCAGGTCTTTCCCCAGTGGCACCATAAGTCGATTTGAACCACTTCTCTTTAGGTTAGTAATGGTTTGCACCATTTTAAAGTGTGTCTTCCTTCATACTCTAGCAAGGGTCACTCTTAGAACTCTCACTCATTGCCTCATCCCTTCGAATCACAGTTCTCCATTTCAAATTGAGACGCTACTTCTCCACTCTCATCAAACGCTCAAGACTTTCCTAGAGGGCCGGCGTGCCCCAGGACTATGGGCTCTCAGAAGTCAATTTAGGAATTAATCCGTTTCAGCATCACATGAAAACCCAAAAGCTCCAAGAGGGGGCTGGCACAGGAGTCAGAGTGAATATGGCCAGCTTTATTTACTTAACAGCAGCTATGTTACATGAGCACTAATTACGTGTCTGTAGGAATCATCACACGAAGGTAAACAGAAAGTCATCACCTCAGCCATGACCATGTCCTGGCACTTTTTAATAAACTTCCCTTCCGCCTTCACGATAGTCTGTAAGAACTTGATGTATTGGACGTTTCGACCATGGGTTTCGATGCAGTGAACAAAGTGCTGAACAACTCTCTCGTTGATCTCACTGCAAAGCTGGAAGTTGTTCATGAAAATGTGCTGCATCGTTACCGCCTCCAGGATCTGGCACAAAAGGAGAAGAGCACAAGGAATGATCCAGAGGAAGCTGTGGTGGCAGCTACAGAGCAAGGAAAGGAGAAGCCCAAGCATACTTCTGGACTCACTTCTTTCTTAACTAAATTTTGTTGGTTGTTTTGTTTTTTCAGGGATATATAATAAGTATACAGAAGAGTAAACCATCACAATTATGCAACTAAGCAGATGACAAAGGAACACCGACATCAAGGGATGCCTGATAATGGCCACTGCTCCCTCCCAAGTCAACTGCTTTCAAGACCCTACATGGGTTTTGTCTCTACTTGAACCTCGCATGTTTCTATCTGTTTTCTTCTGTTCGGCATTATACTGGTGAGATGAATCCATGTTGTGGAATGGATAGTAGTTGATTCACTGTCACTGCTATTTATGAACACACAAAGGCCTTCAGAGTTTATGGAAAATTGCATTATCTTTCAATTCCTTTTTCCCATGCATTTTTTGAAGCCCCTTCATACGTTGATATACTACAATGGATTTTTCTACTCTACTGTTCCTAGCAGGAAGCTCGCGGGCGTAGTGCTCAATGCAGTTTGAAAACACAAGCTGCTCCTCAGGAGAAAGATGGGGTTTTCTACTCCCGTAGAGAGTCGGTCTCAGAAACTGACAGTACAGTTCTCTCCTGCCCTGTAGGGTCACTCTGGGTGGGCAATGACTCGATAGCAGGAAGTACAATTGCTCGGCATTTGGGAGTAGCTGGTTTAAATGATAAGCGGTGGTACTATTTCCAAACAGCTTTTGAACGATGTTAACAATTCTCATTCTGCTTTCACAGCTATCTCATATCCTTGGCCATACTTAGTATTGTTTACCTTTTTTATTGTCTCTTGTTGTGTCTTTCATTTGCATTGGACTGAGGATTCATGCCATAGTTATTGGTCTTTTGGATAGCCTCTGCTACCAAATGCTAGCCCAAACAACAAAACCAGTTGTCTGTAGGATCCCTTATCAACTTCAGTCAGTGATACATTTGGTTTGGAGCTCTTTACTGAATACAGGAATTCCAAATGTCTCCTCCTACTCTCTGCTTGCTTGTGGATGATCTTAATGATACCATTTGATGAAATGAAGTTCTTAATTCTGTGTTTTCCTTGATGATTAGTGTCTTTGCATGCAGTTTAAGAAAACTCTGTTTACCTCTAGGACATGAAATATCTTCTAGATTTATTTTTTAGTCTGCTCAGAGTTACTGCATTTTATGGTTTAGTGTGAGGTAGGGGATTTTAACCTTTGTATCTTTCACTCTCTTTCCCTTTCATACAGAAAGGGAATGTTAATCTATGTTAAAGAGAGAAATTGATAGCAGATCATCTTGCATTGATTTTGGGATTTTCTGGTCAATGAAGACAAATATTCACTTTAAAGAAGTCCTTGACTAAAGTTAATTGGTCAGCAGCTTTTCTTTTTGCCAAAGTTGCTAATCCTTTCTTCCCCATTCAAAGCCAGATTGGCAACGTTAATTGAAAAACAGACCAGAGGTCTCCTGTGACCTGGCTCCATTGAAGAGGGAGAGTAGGGTTCCTTCAAGTAATCATACGCTGATTAGGCAATGGATGGTAACTCTCTCTCTCTCTCGCCTCTGCTCTTTTCAAGCTGCACTGTACCTAACGTCCTCAAACCACTAGCTTTCTCTTAAATTAAAATCACCTCTCTACACACTCAGAATAACTGCTCAGAATAAACTTTCAAATTTTGCTAACGTTTAAATTACTTTTAACACCCATTGCCCACCAAACCTGCAGCTTGCCTAATAGGTAAGTATATGCATGTGAATGTACTTGTCTCAGGAAGTCTTTTGCATTATGGGAGGATGGTGAGAAAAAAAAGGCCACCATGTAGGAAGGAGGGAACCGACTACATGGAACTGTGTGTGACCTCCTCCCTGGGGGACAGACAACCAAAAAGCAGATGAAGGGAGACATCGGACAGGGCAAGATATGACAAAATACCCATTTGTAAACTATCAAGGGCTCATGCGGGAGGGGGGAGCGGGGAGGGAGGCGAAAAATGAGGACCTAATGTCGGGGGTTTAAATGGAGAGAAAATGTTTTGAGAAACGATGTACAAATGCGCTTTACACAATTGATGTGTGTATGGATTGGGATAACAGTTGTATGAGCCCCTAATAAAATGTTAAAAAAAAAAAAAAAAAGAACCATGGCTCTAGGAATTGAGGTAATACCAATTGGAATGTTTCAAAAACACTGATGTAGTGTCAAGAGCACTAATTAAACTATTCCATGAAATTTGAAAAAAAAAAAAAAAAAAAAAGGCCACCCTTGCAGTTGTCCTGGCAGGAAGTCAAAAGGAGAAAGAAGTCTCCCCACTGTAGAGACCACCCGACCATAATACATTAGGTGAAAGTATCAGCAACATGCACATAATGCACTGTGCTATTTTGCTTTTTTAGCTGCATGTCGGTTTGATGTATTTAAATATATCTAATAAAACACAAATGTGATTTATATGGATATGTTGTGTATTTGTAAAGACTGCAGTATAAATGAAAAGATACACGCTTCAATGAGCACACCCTGGGAGATGTCTTCGCACTTCTGTATTGGTTACCTTTGATTCAAAGAGAAATTTTATTAGGAAAAAACACAGCTTACCTTGCCCCTACCACCTTCTACCACCTCCCCCCTCATACCCATCTGTAACTCCCTCCTCCCCTCAAAACACAAACACATTAAAAAAAAAAATGATGAGTATTTTTGTCTTCCTGGGAGTTGATCAAAACGTTCTCCTTTGGAATGAATGTTGCATTATAATGAGTCCCAGAAGGCACAAGAACTAGCTGTTCTCTGCTCTTCCCTCTCTCCTCCCTATGTGATTTCTAGACAGGCCTTGAGCCTTACCCCTGGGTTGAGAAACAGGTTTATGTGTTTGTGTAGCAGAGCCTGATTCTGCTGGTTGCCTGCACAGAAATTCTGCAAGAATTCATGAGCCAGCCGCATGATCTCCTGCATCTTGGTGTCCTCGGCCTGAATGGGATGAGAAAGAGAGAAATTAGTTGAAAGCAGGGGTGGAGGGGAGACAGCAGCAAGTCCTGGTCTCCAGCCAGGTGGTCAGGTTGTATCACACCTCCATCAACCCTACCAGATACGGGGGTCCAGGAAGTGCTCCCCGAGGGCTTGCCTGCCTGCTGTGTGGTGCTCAGGTGCTACACTGCTGCCCCAGAAAAGAACCAAGTGACCTATCTGTGCCTCACAGACAAAGGGGAATGTTCTCAGGGGCAGAAGTTAAAAGATGTTATTCAGAAAACTCAGGGAACATGCTCCAGGGAGCAGCTGGTAGGGCTGAACCATGGGGCTTTTGATTGGCAACCAAGCACTTAGTTATTGTGGCAACAGGGCCCCTTAAGGAGTCAATTAGTATAAAGGATTTAGCAAAGCATCTGACACATTCCAAGTGTCTGAGTGCTCAAGAGAGAGGTCATCTTCTTTCTCGCAAGGGTGGTGTGGGTGCTTTCACAACGAAGCTGGCCTTTCTGGTAGTCGTTTTTGAACCGGATACCTGAGGCTACGGCCTTGGACTCAAACCCTCTCGCGGTCTGGCCCATCATCTACTCATCTATCAAACGGGGATGCAACCACGGCCCATCCCTGGGCTTTCTCAGTGATGAGCATGTGCATCAGGCCACACAGATGCAAAGCTTTGCTTATTCTGCTTCTTTCGGTCCCACCTCCATGAACAACACATATGAAGGTGAGAGAGGGGTGTAAAGGGCAAGATCTGCCAGCATAAAAAAATAATTAGAAAAAAGTACCCCAAGAGATCCAAACACTGAACTAGAAGTCAGCTACCAGTAAAGATCCACAAGTGGGCACGCACTTGTTCCTGCACATACTGAACAACTAATAGAGCTTAAACTACTTAGGACAGTGGAGGTTGGGGGTTCGAGTCTACACAGAGGTACCTCAGAAGGCAGTCTTGCCCATCTGCTCCAAACAAGTAGCCACTGAAAGCCCTAGTGTGGGTTCCTACTGACAGACCTGGGCCAGTATGCCTAGGAGTCAATGCAACAGCAAGTGGCTGGTGACCATGTATAAACTTACTTGAGAAATGTGGCAGATGAAACCTTCTAGCACCATCCCAGGTACAAACACAGGTATATGGAGAGAAGCTGCCTCTCTCTGCTGCCTATGGCTTGGGACTAAGGGGAGAAAATGGCCTCTTCTTCCTTTGCATGATGGTAAATGGCAGGTGGGTTGTTTATGGGAGAGTTCCCCTTTATCCTTTCACTGCACCAGTTGTTCCCTATACAACAGTCTGAGGATGAACTGAACGTATGTGCGTAGGGGACACTGAACTTGCACTAAACGTGAAGGGGAAATTAGAGCCAGGGTTTGACATCTCCATTTACCTTAAAAGATGGTATATGTGACGATCGTGGAAGATGCTCCCACATGCTTATATATGAGGGGAGTCCAAAAGTTTGTAGAAAACAGAATTAAAAGATAATGAAATTTCCCCTCAAGACTTTTTGAAGTCCCCTCATTCTTCTGATACCCTAATCATAATGTGTCTGTAAATGTATCACAATTAAAAAAGAAAAGAGGCAGACTGCAACATGCTTTGTCCACAGAGATACCTGACGGCTACATGAAGATGTTTGGAACCTAAAAAGCAATTCACTTTCTTATGATATCTTTCTTTCTTTCTTTTTTTAAAAAATTCTTTTTAGTGGGGGCTCATACAACTCTCATCACAATGCATACATACATTCATTGTGTCAAGCACATTTGTATCTTTGTTGCCATCATCATTCTCAAAATATTTGCTTTCTACTTGAGCCCTTGCTATCAGCTCATTTTCCCCTCCCTCCCTGCTTCCCCCTCCCTCATGAGCCCTTGATAATTTATAAATTATTATTTTGTCATGTCTTACACTGTCCGACGTCTCCCTTCACCCAGTTTTCTGTTGTCCGTTCCCCAGGGAGGGGGTTATACGTAGATCCTTGTAATCAGTTCCCCCTGTCTACTCCACCTTCCCTTCACCCTCCCGATATTGCCACTCTCACCACTGGTCCCGAATTCCCTGTGTTTTTAGTTCCTATCTGTCATCATCTTAAAAGATGCTGTATAGGTAGGCACAAGACTCTCATCAGATTCATGTCTTCACCAACAATCTGTAAACTCAAGGGGCCTCGGGGCTGGGCGGGCACCCTCACCTTCTCGTAGGGGATCTGCAGCAGCTCCAGCACCACGGCATGGGCACCCATGTTCCGGAGCAGCCGCTGCTGCTGCTTCCTGCTCTTCCGGACTGAGGCGCCTTCTTGGACACAGAGTCGGCTGAGTCGAATCAAGATCTGGAAGGAGGGAAACAAGTGGAAAAAGAGTCCTGGGTGAAGTGAGGGCAGGGAGGCTACACACATTAAAAACTCCACACAAAGAAAGCTGTCCCAACACACAGCATCCCTGAGGCCTGGTCTTTTCCAATAATAAGCAGCGGGTGTGGTTTCCGAAGCACGCGGTAAAGCAGCAGAGCTCTCTCTGATGGGCACGACGATGTGCCAGGCACTGAGGCAGCTCCTCCAGAATTACATCACCGCATCCTTCACTCAGGTCAGAAACTTACACACGGAGTTGGCAGTGCTGGCTGCAGTTTCCAAGCGAGGGAACTAGGGCCCCGAAATATGCGGTGAAGCTGGAGCAAAGCCCAGAAGAGACACCAAGACCTATACCCCCACCCTCTACTTCCTCCAGCCAAACCCAGCAGCAAGGAAGTCCGGGAAGGAAGGAGGGAAAGGGAAAGCAGGTCAGAAGAAAGGGGTGAGGTTGAGAGGAGGCAGGCAGAGAGCAAGACAGAAAAAGGGAAAAAAGGAGGGAGGAAGACGGGGAGGGAAGGACAAAGATTTGGACTCTCAACTACAATAGTACACACCACAAAGGAGCCCAGGTGGCGTTGTGGGTTATGAATTGAGCTGTTAAACGCAAGGTTGGCAGTTCAAATCCACCAGCCACTCCTCAGGAGAAAGAGAAGGCTTTCTACTCCTTTAAAGAGTTATAGTCTTGGAAAACCCCTGGGGAATTCTAGCCTGACCTATAGGGTTGCTGTGAGTCAACACTGACCCGATGGCAATGAGTTTGGGTTGGGTTGGTATCAAACAACGGAACTCCTTGGAGAAATATTAAAGAAGGACAAGTGACAGAGGGGGATACTTACCTCTTTGACCACCCTATAGTTGTAGCTGCTTGTACTTTCATGTTTTTGTGGCTTGTTAGTCCCCTCCTAGGAAACAAAATGAACAGTAGGACTGGGCTCAGGCTAACTCTGGGCTACTGCCCATGTGTTAGGGTTAGCATCACCCTTTACAACAAAACAGGTTTTGCACTGCTTTTCAACAGTCACACTGTTGGGCTTTACACTAAGGCCCCGTATTTAATTACTCACCCTCACCTCTCTTCTGAATGACAGCATGTCACACACTGGGGAGAATGATATCCGGTCTCAACTGGGCCAAGCGGTGCTAGAGAGCAGGCTTGCCCCTACCGGGTCTCTGTGCAAGCCTGGTGCTCATTCACTCAACACTAAATCTATTACCATGAGCCTGGGGTCCTGGGTGACAGCGGTGCACTTTGGTGTTAGGCTCACGCCTCACAAGCCTGCTGTTCTGTTCCCCTGGCTAATTAACAGGAAGGATCTCATAAGAATAAGCTCCGCCTGTCATCTGCTTATAAAGCCCTGTACTGGCACTGTTCACGCTGCAGGGAAACATGGGCATCTCTCTCACCTCCACTTTCTTATGCTCGTTCTCACCGGATGGGCCATCCATTGCCTCGTCAGGGCCCTGCCCTTTGTACACCCAGAGCTCTGATTTTTCCACAATGGACCTCAGTTGATCCAAGTCTTGTTTGATCTGTTTGTAGTTGTCCACATCTTGGCTGGTCACTAGCAGTTGAACCTTAAGGAACGCAATCCATCAGTTGCACGGGACAGCTCAGCTTCTTTTTCAGACAACACACACAGGGCAACTTGGGCTACCTGCTTGAAGGCCTGCAGCACTTCCTGCCTCTGGCTGAAGTGCCGGAAGAGCAGCTGCAGGGCCCCCGACACCAGTGGTGGGTAGTCGTGCATTGTCAGGTGCAGCAGGACTCGCAGGAAGGTCCGGCCACCATGGTCATCCAAGTCCAGTGGGGTGTTCTCCTCACTGGAAGGAAGCGGGGGAGGAAGGCAGGATGAACTGCGGAGCCCTGTCTCAGACACCCAGGCCAGTTGTGATTGCAAGACTACAGTCGAGCTTGTGCTGCATGCCATCAGCTTCTTTAACCTAACTAGGAGACGGACTCTTTCTCCTGCACTGTACTGTGAACGGAGGGTCAGATAGATGTCACTATTGTCAAATCAGAAACCAAAGCCCCTCCCTTCCCACAGCGACAGGTTGGCCATGTGATTGGGCTCATGAATCCTGCTGTGCTGGCTGCCTAGCCTATCGCCTGACAACTTCCAGCACCTTTGCTTCTCCTGAGTTCTTCTTTAGTGACTTCTTTTATTACCTGTTGATTTTAGTCAGCCAGTGGCCATCAAGTTGACTTAGACCCATGGTGACCCCATTTGTTTAGAGCACAACTGTTCTGCAGGGTTTTCACAGGCTGATTCTCAGCCCTCTCTTCCAAGGTACCTCTGGATAGACTAGAACCATCAACCTCTCAGTCAGTGGCCAAATGTGTCAAGAGTTCCAACGCCTAGGGAATTCTGTTTATTTAGGATGCCATAATCCAGTATTTATTAAATTATATATGGTAAAAAAAAATATTTTTTTCAATCTGTAGGAGACTGATATAACTCTTGGTCTGTACCATTTCCAATGACTCAAACCTATTGATCATGTCTTTGATACCAGGGCCAGAACAATGTAGAAGCATACTGTCATTCTGTTCTTATCTTGTCACCACCTGTTAACAGCTCAGTCTGGCAAACCCCACCGTGAGGAGGCACTCGGGGTTGGCCAGCAGTTCAAAACCACTCCTCATGAAAGAGATGAGGCTGTCTGCTCCATAAAGATTCACAGTCTTGGTTAATCTATATAGGTGTGCTATCAGTCACAATCAAGAGGCTCGTTTTGTGAGTTTTCAGCAAACCATGATAACTCAGTGTTCTGAGAAGCAGAATCAATCAGCACCACATAAAGGCATGCTCACGCCCCACATTCACGTCCCATGCAGGGACTTCGTGTGACTGCGGACCAGCGCACCTCACCCACAGCCACACTTCTGGACCCCCGGGTGTTGCTATGATGCTTGAACAGGTGTCAGCAGCAGCTGGCAAACTGCAACAGCTCCATCACTTGATGACTTCATCTTTTCTATGCAATTGTAAAGTTCATGAGCATTCCCTGCATCGTGTGGCAGACCACGCCACCACATACACACTGTCCCCAAGAACCGTGCCAGTCCCTGCACTGTGTTTATGAAGAAATGAGCGCCAGGCAAGAGGAGCTCAATCTCCAGGTGAGCAAGGAGAGCTCAGAGAACACTCATAGTGCTATCCTCGCACTTCCTAATGGGAGCATGCTGCCTACACCAGGTGAGGGGTCAAGGGCTGAGCTGAGTCGCCACATTTCACATGGATGCATGCTCATGCTGAACTCAGAACACCTGTGGAAGTAAGCTTCCGAACACCACCACCTCCATCGTGTCCAACGCAAGTGCTGACGCCTACGGCACACACTTGGTTTCTGTGCTCAGACCCTCTGTTAACACTGGTCCCCAAAGACCTGGCCCTCGCCTTACTCACACCTTCCAGTAGTCCCTCCCACAGTGACGCCAGGTGATTTTCTCTGACCAATAGGTAGGATATTAGCAAGCACAATGTAAGCAGAGGGTTGATTAGTTTACCCAATTGAAATGCTTGCTCTTGGAGCTGGCCACCATGCTGTGAAGAACCCAAAAACACAGCAAGAGAACACGACAGGGCCCAGCATTACACATATGCTAGCAAGGGGCTAACAGTGTGAACAAAGTAAACCTGAGTGGCTAATCCCCCCAGTCATCTCTCACTGCAGTCGCAGGAAGAGAACTTCAAGGCATGCTGTAGAAACAGCTGGCCCACAGCACCGGGACAGGGAGCAGTGTGGCAGTGGTTTCCATCTCTTAGTTTTTGGAGTCATTTATTGTGCAGCAACAGAAAATCAATCAAACTATCTAAATTATAAGAACTATGTCTAAAGAGTGTTTATGCCCACTAAGGAGGTGCAACAGATCAGGAAGGGAATGGAGTGGCGAGGTCCCCAGGGAATGCTGAAGGTGGACTTTGGGGCCAGGGCGTGGTGCCCCAACAGACTGGACTGGAAAACACTCCTAAAGGCCAACAAACAGTCCTTGAACTAACTACAAGCTTTTCTTTCTAGTTGTGCTTTGTTTTTTTTGTCATTGGTT